GAGAGAGAGAGAGAGAGGAACGAAAGAATGAATATGAGGCCGTGAAGAAAGCCTCTGCTCTTTGCAAAAGGCTCTCCACACGCCACAGGGAAGAAAAGGAGAAGACCTCTCTCTCTCTAATAAAGAAAAAAAGGCCTCCTAGGGTTTCTTTAATTTCTTATTAGAAAGGAACAGAGGAAGAGAGAGAGAGTTCTGAAAACAAAAGCCTGTTTCAATGAAAACAACTTCATTATACTGGTATATATATGATGAGCGAAACCCTAGGGAGATGACCGAAGAAGCCGGTGAGCCACGGGTTATGTGGGGGAAATGCGGGTCCACCCCATGTGCCTGCGCCTGCCGAGGCCAGTCTGGTGTCTCAACACCTCCCTCTCTCCCCCACGTGGCATCATTGTTTTTGACGGAATTAACACTTCGGTATTTTGGGCATGTATACAATCAAATCAAGTGCCTCTTTAAATATTGTCCATAAATGTGGTATTAATAGTGGAAATCTTTGTGATAGCGCTTTAAAATATATTTTTATTTTTAATTATAAAATTTGAAATTTTAAAAATAAAGTAAAAGGAACATATCCTGAAAACTTGAAAATATAAAAATTTATTGGTCTAAACAAATATTAAAGTATATATTATTTTTAAAACTTGAAACCTATTTTTTATATATATATTTATGCACCTTGAGATCGAGATAATCAATTTGAAGATATTTGAATATCAAAACAACTTTTTTTAATGAATTTTTTTAATGTAAACTCTAATTTGAATATTTTCAACTATGAACTTGATTTTTTTGAGGTGGGTTTAATTTGATTGTTTAGAGCCTTGGTTCTACATGAACTTTTTCTTTCTCTATATGATTATCCAACGATATCAATTTTTTTTAGGGTGACGAAATAAAAGAGCATATATATTCCCTCAGCTAGAGGACGTTTTTGGAAGGATTTTACAATCCCAAAGGTTTGAAACTATTTAAGCAGGAAAATGGTTTGACAGGGTCCTATCAAAATAAGTAAACCTCAGTCTCATAACTCATAAAAAAATTATAATTCAAGTATTGAAAACCTTTAAATCGATCATCCCTGTAAGAAAAAAAAAGGATTTTTAGTTTTTAAAATAGTGTATATTGTAATACATCATCTAGATCATCCATTTCACACTAAAAATAAATGTTCACATATCTACAACATCTTTATTATTTTTTTAGTTTCAAAATTTTATTGACGGCATTGAAAATTGATTTTAGAGCTATCTTAAAGATTTTTACGCCCAAAGTGCTTTTTGAATGAGAATTTGAGGTGAGAATTTATTTAATTTTTATAAATCCTAGGCCCTATAGAAACTTCATCCATTTAAGAATAGGAAATGGGTAGATATGTCTGCAATTTTATCACAAGAAGTAAAGTCTCACCTCATAACTTATCAAAAATTGCAATTAAAGTATTAGAAAACATATGCATCAATAATCTAGGCATGAAAATCTTGGCTTGAACATTATGGTTGTGAAAAAAAAAAAGGATTTCAAGCTCTTAATATAGCATATATTGTAAAAATATTATCTAGATCGTTCATCTCAGCCTAAAAATAAGTGTTCATAGATCCACAACATCTGTGCCATTTTTTGAGTTTCGAATTTCATTGTTATTGTTGGAAACTGATTTTTAAGCCATCATGAAGATTTTTGTTGTTGAAAGTGCTTTCCGGACAAAGATTTGAAGTGAGAGTTTATTTTGTTATCATAAAGTCTAGGCCTTATAGAAACCTCAGCCTTTAAGAATTACTAGATGATCATTCTCATAAAAAGAATTTTAAAATTTGAGCTTTCCAGTACTTAGATTTGACCATCTAAATATTGGATAGGTTCTATTCAATCTCTAGACATTTTTTTAAGTGCATAGAGAATACAATTAGGATTTTTTATTAACTTAATCTCTAAAAATTTTAAGTTTTAAAATTAATTCCAAATAAGAGTTTGACATATAAAATTAATTTCGTTTCGGGGGCTAAGTTGAGAGTAGAGCCAGCAACCGTCACACTTAACTAAAACTTGGTCTTTCTCAAAATAAAAAGGTCTGTGATATTTTGAAACCCACTCAAACTATGAGTTTTCAAAAAACAAATTTGGAGAAATTAATGCATATCCTCCAAACTTTTATTATTGAACAAATCTCTTCTAAATTTCTTTTTTATGGTGAAGAGTTTTTCTTTATTTTATTTTTTACCAAATTGCCCTTATTGTCAATAGTTTGACTTATGTATCAATACTTATCTTAGTGTTTTTTATACACTTAACGTAGACCTCTGTATTTGTTCGAGAAATATACGTGGGCTCTCAAAGAAAATAATTGATTGAGTACAACTTCAAATCTTGAAGGTTCAAATTTTGTTTTTAAAGTTCAGTGCAAACTTATGATATCGAGGGTTTGGAGATTGTTTTTGGAAGAATGTTGCACTTCAAGTTAGGGTTAACGTCGGCCTTGGAGGTCCGAAGTTTTCTTTTAGGAACACATTTGTATCTTGAAAATCTAAGTGTATGACAAACACTCATGCTTTGATCCCAAAGTTAAACTTTGAGGCTTCAAAATCCAAAATAGCGGTAATTTGGTTAAAAATAAAAAGTAAAAAAAATATGTTTAAATGTAAATGGAATTGTTTAAGTAGAGGAATTCAGAAGAATAGCACGTAAATTCTTCAAATTGTTAAAAAATCACCTTTGGACGGTGAGTGAGATCTTGTCTCAATAATGTTTTTGCAAAAACTTCTCTAAGTCGATTCTTTTCTGAATAATGTTTTTGCAAAATCTTCTCTAAAATTCTAACTTTTTGAAAGTTCATTTCATTAGTTTGAATTTTTGAAATTTGGTTTTGCGATAAGCATACTAAATGTGAGATTACTTATCTTCGTTAACTTGAATTGTTTATCTTCACTAATTTGAAATCTTTGAATTTTCAATTTGGGAAAGCTTATTAAAAGATAGATGAATCATTCAACAACTTATTCTAAAAAACAATACATTTCCCAAAAAAAAATGGTATTTTAAAAAAAATAAAAAATACACACACATTCTAAAAGAACCATATTTCCCAAGAATAATAACAGAGCTAGATTAATGATGGTACTGCATGGTATTTATGTTGGGATTAATATGTTGTTTAATTTTAGGTTGCTTAATGAACACACATCCTCATCCAAGTTCATGGGTCGGTTTAGCCCCTTTTTTACTTTTGTTATTTCATCTTCTTTGTATTTCGACCCACATTTTTTTTTATAGGAAAAGTATCCCATCCACATCATGTGGACAGGTGGAAGGGTACACATACCCTTCCTTTTTTATAGGAAAAGTATCCCATCCACATCATGTGGACAGATGGAAGGGTGCACATACCCTTCCAATGGTTGAGATCTCATAAGGCTATATCCAATGGCCGAAAATTAGTTTCGTATTTTATTTTTTATTCCAATAAGATATTAATTTGAATTTTCGAGTGTAGGTGTATTTTCATCAATATAAGTAAATAAAAATGATTAAATAATATTTTAAATAAAAAATAACCCAAATATCTCTAAATTTATTTTGGTCAATGTTTTTTATTCAAAATAATTTTTTATTAACTTTATTCAATATTACGTATAGAATGAACCTAAAATCAAAATTTCCGATCAGTATCATTTTTAAATAAAAATAAAAATAAAAAACGAGATGAATTATTTGCCCTTGTATGAGCATGGTTCAAGTTAAACCACTGAAAGGTGCATGTGTACCTTCTAAATACCAACCCTTTTATACATTGTCAAAAATGCAAAATAAGAGAAAAAGAAATGCAGGTAATCTCATGATTTTCTTTTATTTTTTTTTATTTTTTTGAAAGATGATTTTTTTTCGGTTTTTTTTGACAGTTGACGATATAGGTTAGGGAGTGTCATGTGGAAGCTCTCTGATTGGCCCCCCACAGTGCAAATCTGATAAAGATAGTTCCCCCTCTCAATTTTGAATTTTAAACAAAAAAACAAGTCGACCGTTTGGCCATTCAGACGGTTTGAGAACGTGGCATGGTCCCTACCGGTCTTTGGCAATCAACGGTTGAGATATTCATCTGGACGGCTCAGATTCAAGATGGAGGGGAAACAGATTGAAACTGACCGTTTAATTGCCTTCGATTAAGGAGGGAATATGATTGATTTATATTATATTATGAATGAATTATGAGGAAGCCATCGTGGATACCGACCAACCTGTCGTCAAGTCCTGCAGCGAGGACACTAAAAAGGACGTTTCTTAGTTACAGTGTGGCCCACTTTTAGCTCGAGGAAAAGATCGGTGTATTTTTTTTTTAAAAAAAAATTTAAAGGTGGTTTTCTTTACTTTTACAAAAATCTTCCTTTGAAAAGAATTTTTTTTCAACTACAGCTCAAAGGAAAAAAAGAAAAAAAGAAAAAAAAAAGATTTCTTTCAAGTGGAGGGGAAGAGATGACGGTCTTCAATCAAGTCCATGGAAAAGGATTGCAGGCGAGGAAGGGCATCAATGCCATAGACATTTGGGGTAATGTCGTGAGTATCGTGATTGTAGAAGCACGGAGTTTCCAAGACCCATTCTGGTTTTTTGTTTTTTTCATGGAAAAATGACCTCGATCCTTTCTTTTAAATTTTCATCCCTATTAGCATTTTGGGATCACCAAAATCCCTTGTACCCCCTCAAGTTTAAAACTTTGGAACCATTAGCCCCTTAATTAGTTTTTCTTTGTTTTGTTTACAAATTTGAATACAAAATACCAAACCCATACATTAGTCATCTGTAATTTTTTTTGTGACTTGATATACAAATTTTATTGAT